CCCCAAAACCCCAAAACCCCAAAACCCCAAAACCCCAAAACCCCAAAACCCCTCAATCTAAATTATCTGAAGTAAATCTCGTATTAATAATAATCAAATGATAATCTTAGATAGGATGATATTCTTGTTAAGATCTATCAATCGTAACTAGCTTTATAAATCTTAACAGTGCCATCCAGGCAGCCAACAGCAAGTCGCTCTTCAGGCATTCCCACCACTCCGATGAATGTTTGCCAGTTGCTGATAAGCACTCTAAGAGACTAAATCACAGTCATATTCTTAACATCAAATATAATCACCTTGGACACCATACCAGCCAGAGCCACATATGGATACTCATTATAATCATACGAAGTCAGCAACTGTATGTGCAGAGTTGAAACTGTGAAGACCTGCTAGGTGTGCTATACTTAGAATGTTCTTTATGAGTTTTAATTCTGCTAGTTGTTTAGAGAGTTTCTGTGCTAAGGATGATATTACTATTATTGAGCCTGATGATCTTAATGAGCAACTGCATTTGAATTGTTTCCTGGCTATGGATGGTGCTGTCTCTGTTTCCAAATTTAGATCTTACCATCTGAAGTTCCAGAGATTAGGGTATTATCATTTAACTAGGCGAAGGTATTAACCTAGGAGTAGTGAGCAAGCACCATGTCACTTGAGTGCCGCATTCTGTGAGACTGCTCAACGCTGCTCTCTTCAATTTAAAGTTGCTAGTTATTCTCTTACAGTAGCTGCTGCAAACTCCATAACTTAAGATGTTTATCTTTGCTTCCTGTTGCAAGCATAAGCTCAAGCTGCCTGGTCGAATGATTCATAATCTTAAATGCCTTAATTGAAAGTATCGCAGTTGAGTGAGCAGTAGGAATGACCTGAACGCATTCATAGAACTTCCATATTTTAACCTCTTTAGTTGCTCCAGTTGCAAATAGCTGATCATTGACAGCAGTAATACAATTGATCTGAGAGGTGTGAGCATTGACAATAGTGTTTTACTTCTTGTATTCATGCTTCAAAATAGTTATCTCAGGCACTGACTAGGCTTTACTGGTGAAACAGCTTAATAAGCAGTTCATCTTGGTTTGTTTCTAAATTGACTCAGGTTGTTTGACTTTAATATGTTTCTCTATTATTTCATATACCACAATATTCCTATCAATGCCACAGGATATCAATCTATCATTTATTTCAAGTAATCCAGTGATAGTATTCACATGATCCTAGAACTCTTGTACTAATTAGTAGGTCTCCTCTTAGCCTTTAGTGTCAAATATCGCTAGCTTGTAGTTCTAGCTACTACCGCTTATAGCCAAGTGGCCATTAGTCATAAGTAATATTGTCTCTATGCTTCCTCCTTGATATACTGATTTAGAGGTTTCACATTAAAAGGTAGGGTCTTTCCTATAGTACTATTCTTTTTACTCTTCAAAGTTCAGTTGTACTTGATTCTGACCCACTAATTATCCAATGTTATCGAATTGTAACTAATTTTCCAAGTCCATTATTCGGTTGTCCTTCTCTTTGCACAGAGCTTTGATTTATTTCATCTCACTTTTTGTGCTTGAGAGTTAGTGATCTTTGTCTGAGAGTTTTTCTTGTGCTTAAGTTAGTTTCTTGGCAAGTTCCTTTATGCAGTCATGGGAGTCAACTTCAGATCTGGTAAAATCAAGAGAACAACCCTTTGAACACTATACTATGGTGAATAAACAGTCTACTCTAATGTGCTCTTTTTGCAACTTCTTTTTGCATCTGATTTAGCATCCCTGCTGGGGACATCGGACTTCATTTTCTAGACAGTCGAAATCAAGATGATGATGAAGAGTCCTCTTGGGTACAGGTTGCTTACAAACTGGACAATCTTTCAAGATCATTTCACACTAATTCTACAAATGATGATCCATTTGACCAGATGGAATCAACTTCTTGCAGTACTCGCAGTCTATTAGAAGATAATCACAAGTAGCCATATGATCTTCCAGAAACTTTCTCAGAGTTTTCTGCGTACATCCTTGATGAAGACAGCTTATCAAATCGTACTCACAGCTTGACTGGTGCTTCAGCAATTCTCCATAAGTCACAGCCTGATTGCAACCAAACTGTTTATTTTAGCAGTAAATTTTAAGGCTCTCCATTTGATTCTTAAAAGGAATAGAAATCTTCATCATCTCAACACCTTTGCATCTGAGGGGGCAAACTGTCTAGAAGGAATGGGCATTTGATTGCCACTTATCGATGCATTTATGGCAAAACACATTTCTACACTTGGAGCATTCTCTTGGATCTTAAAGTAAATCCTAGCAAACTTGGCATTGATAATGAACGCCTTCTTCAGGGTTTACTAGTCTATCCATTAGTGATTGATCTTTCAACTGAGTATCTTGTGGATACGTTTTTATCTAGTTTTCAAGTTCAGAGCTAAGAATTGGCGAAATTGAAGTATCCATAATTTTTTATATAAATGAAGTTATGAGCGATTTTAAATTTAGGGAAAATTCTAATAATCATATTACCAGTGAAACAGCCTCATATAATAATCAGTACAAATTATTAGTATTTACTATTTTACATTTATTTATCAGTGTTCAAATAATGTTCATAATTATCACAATGGGGTTTTGGGGTTTTGGGGTTTTGGGG